GGCTCCCTGTACTCCGCCAGTACAGCAGCGAGGATAGCCTCCAGCGTTGACATGTCATCTTCTTCACAGTCGGTGCCCTTGTCAACTGCATTCCAGAGCCGTCGGGCTCTGAGCTTGACCTTCATGGTCACCGACCACTCTCCATAGTTGGTGCGAGTCAGCGTCGGCCAACTGGTGCCGTTGACCTCCAGCACCGTGCGAACAACGACCTCCGGTCATGGTTGGGCAGCCGCAGCAGTGCCACTGCTGTCGCCCACTTCCGAACGGCACGTCATCGCCAGCGGTTAGTCTGGCGACGACGCTTGTACGGCTCCGATACCACTTGTTGGCCCATAGGATCACCGACTCAGGTGAGTTGCCCACTCACCGGTCTTGCCGAGCACCCGCTAGTGTTGCCGAGCACCCACTGGTCGTGCCGACCACGAACAAGCGTTGTCCGTCCCCACACGCTATGGCCAGAGCTAGAAGAAGAAGGGAGAACAGAGCATGCACACAATACAAGACACCAGCGTTGGCCGAAGCCCTGTCTGTGAGATGGCAAATCTGAACTCTCTTTACTGAGTTGCCGTGGTATTCTATTTATACAACTCTATCCTTCTAGTCCTAGTACAGCTGTCATGCTGCTACAGGAACTAGATAACATACAGGGCTGAGTCTGCGCCGGCCACTGCATGTGCCTATAGTGTTGCAGGTGAGCCGTGTGGCGCCTACACCTGCAGCGGCTACAGTATCACAGCAGGGGGCCTTTCCGGCGCCATCTTCCCTTGCTGTGTTCACACAAGGTAACATTGGATTATCTAACATACTCCCCTCCTCCCTAAGTACACTCATCAACTTTTTATACTTTACTAGATACAACACTGTTTTCAGGAATCCAGAAGATGTTTGGAAAGAAATATAGGTTTTCGACTTTTTATTTCTGTCCTGAATCCTTAGTTGGGAAAACATATTTTTGTTTCATTGTCGCAAGCGACCACTTAGGTTGTGAGCTGATATTTGTAACTCTAATGCAAGTTTGTGAATATGTAATTCATGTTTTGATGTGCTTTTCGTATGTTCGGTTATGTTTTTGAAAGAACAGGGGGTTAGGAGCTTCCCCACCTGGATTTGTTAACTGAAAGGTGCTGTTAACATTACCGAACATGGCATTCATGTAAGGCAGGAAAAAATAGTTAGGGGAGAGGAGATGTCATTACTAATAATCAGGGGGGCCTGTGTAGTACAGATGGAGGATAGTAGTTTTAGTGTTTCTAATATCAAAAATATGATTTGGATTGGACTGCATATTAGTTGCTTTTCCAAGGGCTGTATGTAGTTCCTTACTTTCTTCGTTTAGTCATTTTACTGAATACTTAAACAGTGCCGATTTTTTTCCAAGTGAGCTATGTTGAATTGCAATATCCTTCAATTTACCGCCTTTATATTAGCAATTTGTGTTGAAGTAAATGTCGTAGGCTATGTTGATCAAAGGAGTTTGTGTCGAATCAAGACTCTAAATTTATATTATGCAAACCTGAACTTATGCATAGTCTGTGACAATTGACATCTACGATGGTGAGCCTAGATAGTTCAAATCAGAAAATAGACTATTCATGGAAAATTTAAGCTTAACTTGTTCATCCTTTTTTAGTTGCTCAAATTTCATGCTTGCTTACACTGAGCTCTATCGAAAACAATCTTGAGCCTTGGTCATTTAACTAGCCCCCTTTGGAATGTGGCGCTTTTTTCATGTTTTTTTGTGTTTTTCTTTGAAAATGAACTGATTCCTATTCCTGTACGAGTCAAAACTCCTGCGTTCCAAAGGGCTCTTAACCTTTTTCTAAATCTCATTAGTTTTTTTTACTCGAGCTAAGCTTGTGTGCTCTTGGGTAACCCATTATGATTCCCCTAGTTTGGACTGCGGTCATTTTACTCTGGTTAAGAATAACCCATGTGTAGTTTGTAAAGATGAAGGAAGAGAATTTTCGGCCCCGTTTGGTTCCCAGCTGTTTTTATGAATCTGTATAAAAAAGATCTCAGAATTCTAGAATCCCATCCAAGCAAGCTATGTTCTATTGAATTTTAATATACAGACACTGAATCCAATGAATGCACTAGAGTTTTTTTATCCACATTTTTTAGAATCCACCAGGATTCAAACGACACCTTCTATTGCCTGCACATGATCTTGGGTAGCTGATCTTCTAAATTAAATTGATTTTGATTTATTTGAATTCAGTGATTGAGCCTATCTATACCAGTCTCTTGGAGCCTCTTTGAGATCATCATAGCATATTTCTGGAATTACATGTGGTTGAGGCTCTGGTCCTTTTTTATTATTACTAGCCACTATGCCCGCGCTTCGCTGCGGGTGATCTGCTTGATATATCAAACCTTGGGGATCATGTATACGTGTTACTCGAAAGTATCCCCACGGAAGCTATAGCTGATTAATTTTTTCCACTACCATATCATGGAAGATGATCTTCTTGGTATATATCAAATCTTAGGGATCATATGTATGTTGTACTAAAAAATATCTCAATAGAAGCTAATATGTATTTTCCAGTATGATGTTATGTAAGGGCGATAGAGTTTGGCATCCATTACACAATATCTATTCTAGGTCACTAAATAAAATCACTGGCATATTGGTGTAGAGAAATGACATATTGGCATAGAGAAATGTTTGCTCAATTGGAATTCAAACAACCAACATCACTAAACTCAAAGCACAACACCATGTGGGATTACATTATAGGTGGAAATAATAAACACTACAACGAGGGTTCTTGAGGGGCCCATGTCTCTACTTAGATCATTCTTCGTAGCTTGAGAAATCTTCTGGGAGGATGGAAGGAGGGCAGATGCCATCTCCTGGTGGTGCCTGAGTCAGCGGGAGAATCTCTTCTCCATCGATTGACCCTGTCTCGGAAATTCCATGGGAGGCCTCGGTTGGTGGAGGCGCGGGCGGCGTGTCCACAATCTTCCCTTGGATTTCTTCCATGGTTGCAACTGGGATTCCATCTAGTATTAGGCATTCTCTCCCTTCCAGAACAAGGGTCCTTCTCTTGGCCCTAGTGACAAGGTAGATATTCTTCAATTGCTGAGTGTGGCGGTCTTCGGCCTGTTTGAAGGCTTCAATTGTTGTAGCCTCACGGCTCTCCGCTCTAGCTGCCTGCGCCTTAGCCTCCGCAAGCTGCACTTGCAGGTTTCTTATTTGGTTCTCGGCCTCCTCTGCCCTTAGAATGCACTTCTTCAAATGGGTGGCATGCCTATCATATTGCTTATCTAGGGAAAGTAGGTAGGTAGACATGAACACCGTAGTTGGGTCACTTTCACGTAATTCAGGGCCTTCGAGGGTCCTCATTCGGGCTACCCACACAGGACTGTCTCTTGTTAAAGGGGGGAAGAATCTCATGGGTGTACGACATATTGGCCTCTCATAAATCTGGCATAGGTACCTCAAAGCTTTGCGAGCGACAGATTGGTAAGTGTCCTCGAACCGAAACCCTATAGTAGAAACCACCCACGGCCCTATGTTGGGGAAATCTTTACTTCCTCCAACATAGATGATGACCTCGCACCGCTCTGTGCCATACTCCTCATATTCTCTACCTACATACTCTGGGTGATCCAAAAGACCTATCCTGGACATGGTGGCATATAGGAGCTTGGGAAAACCATCTTTGTTCAAGCAGTAGCTAGTGGTCCACTCTTCATCTGCCATCTGCAAGGAAAAGGAGGGTAAGTCATTTTTGTAATATATAGGAGAGGGTAAGATTTCATAAAGATGGTCATGGTTTTCTCACCTTGATAAGGACACCGGCGAAGAGGAAGGCCGCTGTAGCCGCTCGATTCCTATAGGAGAGCAGAGAAATGGGGAGAGAGGGATGATACTCGATGGGAAGGAAGTTGAGCTAGGATGTGTTACCTCTTGAGATATGGAAGACCTCTGAGGTACCAAATTTTATAGCTAGAAGGATGAAGTTGTATCCAGCAGCGCAAGAACCACATTTAATGCGAGCGACTGTGGCGTCGACACGGGTGATGTCGTGTAGTGCCAAGGGCGGTGGTGAGGTGACATTATGGCAGTAGTTGTTGGGCACTTCAAGGGCATTCTCCATTATTTCCGGGCACGCGGGTGCCTTTGCGTAGTTCCTGTGGATGCACGCCTAAACAATGATAGGCACACACGACATGAACGATGGTGAGGTAACACTGTGGCAGCAGTTGTTGCCTGGTTAAGGGTCATTCTCCATTATTCACAGGCATGCGCGTGCCTTTGTGCAGGTTGTGTGGGAGCGTGCCAAAATAGTGGTAGGCATAACACGAGCACACAAAGACAACAAAACTAGGCACAATGTTACCTACAATGGAGCATGTCCCTTAAATGTCCAAAGAATGAAATCATCAGAACGGGACAAATTAACCTACAATTAGAGATGATAACAAGAGATCTAGCAAGCAAGAGTATGAAAGAAATGGAAAGGAGATGGTCATGACGTCCTCGAACTGATTATAGGTAGAACATGACTTTTGCACAAATACATGAGAGGATGGGAAAGTAAAGAAATATGTGCAGGCACCTGACACTTCAGCTTCTCCTTTGCCGGGTTGCCTCTTCTTTGATTGTCTAGAGGAAGTTCCTTCCATTCGCCACACCCTGTGGACCTATGGATTTGTCCACATACATATGATACATATTATATTGTACTCATACATCTTTGCATTACGTTACTACATACATGTGCATAATTAAGTTTTTCTGCGGAGTGTATCCATGGTAGTACATAAGTAGTTATAGGAATGCCTGCTAGTGTACATTGTTTAGTTTGCCAGACCTAGGTTATCAACGCTCACAGCACTTACCCCCATCCCCTCTTCTTGCCCGACTACACCATCGACTCTTCATATACATGGGCTGGTCGACCTAGGGTTTAAAGGGCAAGAAGCACTTTCCCCTCTACCACTCCACCCCATCCCCCCTCACCTCTGCAGGATCAAACTACATCTCGTAGATGATGTCGATTAAACCGGTGGTAATCATGGGTGCCACTGGCACTGGCAAGATGAAGTTATCAATTGACATATCCAAGGTGATTGGTGGTGAAGTGATAAATGCGGACAAGATGCAAATATATGCTGGTCTTGACATCGCAACTAACAAGATCCGGCCGAATGATCAAGGTGGTATTCCTCATCACTTAATTGGGGTTATTTCATCAATTGCGGATGATGTGTATGTACCTTCCTTTCGATCTATTGCAACAACTACTGCGGAGTCTACTGCAAGGCGTGGTCGAGTTCCAGTTCTGGTAGGTGGGTCAAACTCACTTATGCATGGATTTCTTGCTGACCACCTTGATCCCTCCCTTGCCAATCCTTTTTCAATACCAAAGTATAAGCCAAATTTAAGGTTCAAAAGTTGTCTACTTTGGGTCCATACGCATGAGCTGGTTCTTAATAAGTATCTGTGTCGCTGTATTGATGATATGGTTGCTTCTGGATTAGTTGAGGAACTAAAAGAGTATTTTGATACTACGCTGGCTCATAAGATTGGCAACCACACTGGGCTGGCTAAGGCAATTGGTGTGCGAGAACTAAGCAAATATTTTGGTGGAGGCATGAGTCTTTCGATTCCATAGATGAGATGAAAGCAAATACAAAAGCCCTTGCAAAATCACAGACTACAAAGATTCACCATATCGCTGGTGTTTGGGGCTGGCTTTGTGTGTGTGGTGGACTCTCTGAAGCCATACACGCTGCCATCTAAGTGGAGGAGACCATAGTACGGAGGACATATCATGGGAACGCGATGTGAGTTCTCCTGCAATTGCTATTGTGGATAAGTTTTACATAGCTAACGCAACGTGGCTATCCATGTGAGTTCTTGTAAGTAATTAAATAAATCCAATTGAACTATCTTTTAATATACGCGGGTGGTACCATGTTAGCTATAGTATGGGTTATTATTTCCATGACTCGAAAATGTATTGATATTTGATCTGGAAACCTTCCACTTATTACTGCTTGTAGCATGGATGTTAATGGCAATGCTTCATATGGTTATTTGCATATTAGTACCATATACTCCTTTATTCATTGAAAATCGAAGGACCCAACTCTATAACACCCTTTCTTCTACCTTGTTGTACGATGCATTGATAGATTCCCTCTAATTTATAAATAACCCTCATTTAGAATGAACTAATGGAAACGAAGAAGCATGGAAATGCAAAGGACGTGTACCTAGGTGATGAGTAAAGGAAAGGGACTCAAAACTCGGGTCTCTGATAGTAAAACATGCATGATCGAAAGCGGAAGGATCTTTGTTGATCGCTACTTTTATCAAGATGCTCGACACGAAGAAGCAAGAAGAGCATCGATTCGGCAACACATGTGGTGGCCTACCTTACGCATGCTTGCCGATACACCGCTAGATAGTTCGATACTCGTATGCATGCATGTTGGTAGCCAATCGACGCATGCATACATCCTAGAAGCACGCCACTACTACTGCTGCTCCATATTTGGAAAAGCTAGATACTCCTACAATCCTATGGATGTCCCCGGTGTTGACCAAACGCGCCAGGTACGAACTATCGAGAAAAAGCTAGTATTGTATGGTTATCTCTTATCCGTAGATGATTTGTCATCTAAGGCAACACGACATAAAGAGAGTGAATTTTTTTACTTTCACACATGCACATGTCTTACAAAAATAAGTACCTTTTTATCAAGGAAACAAGGTTTAACCTTCAGTTTGAAAGCTCGAGTAGTAACTATAGCAGTTCTAGCATTAAGTTTCTACCTTTGCCATCAAATCCTCTCTCACCGGTCAAAGCAAAGAACTATAGCATTAAGTTTCTACCTTTGCCATCCAATCCTTCAGTTCTAGCATTAACTATAGCAGTTCTAGCATTAAGTAACTATAGGTCTTTGCAATGTATATTGTGTTTGGGGCACGAAGGTAGCTTCCTCTTCTTCCTCCTCTCTCACGGTCAGCGGTCACCATAGGCCATAGTGTGTACTGCACGACTCACGTAAAGCGATATTCAAGGATTAGGAGTGTGTGCGTAGTATGCGTATGTGCCATCGTATGGCTGTGTGCCAAACATCATACATACTTTGCACTCTGAAGCAAAGCTGGGTGGGTTGTCACAAAGACAGCTATACCTCCTGCGGGATCCCGGTCATGATTCCATACCGCCACGACCCTATAAAAATCATTCAATCGATGCTATGACATTGCAAAGAAGCTAGTAATAATAAGTAACCCTAGAATGGTTCCAGCTTTCAAGCAAGATGGCTAGTAATAATAAGTAACCCTATATGATGCACGGAACGTAAGTTCACCATCCTGCCCGGATCAACGCGACGCCTTTGTGAGGATCTGTCGAGGAGACAGACAAGACAGACGGGACACGCGCGCCGCAAACCCAGCAAACCCAGCCATGCGTCCCGGCGAGGGAGGGGTGCATGCGCAGCAGATCCATGCAGCCCCACCATGGCGGCCAGGTCTGCCAGACCCATCCCGTCGCCGCGGTGCGTGAACTATCGAGAAAAAAGCTAGTATTGTATGGTTATTCATTATCCGTAGATGATTTGTCATCTAAGGCAACACGAGGCAAAGAGAGTGAAATTTTTTACTTTCACACATGCAATTGTCTTAAAAAAAATAAGTACCTTTTTATCAAGGAAACAAGCTTTAACCTTCAGTTTGAAAGCTCGAATAGTTACTATAGCAGTTCTAGCATTAAGTTTCTATCCTCGTATAAATGCACCAACTATTCCTTGTCACATGGGATTAGAATGAAAAAGATGAATAGGTAAAGGTCTCGATTATTTATATCATTAAATGATACTTTGTGGCTCCCTCGCCACCCAAAGCATGATTCAACCGCAATTAGCCAAGGATGTTTGTAGTTCCAAAATTAGTTCGGCGCATCCTACGGGACAATTTGTAGTGCACAAAGTACCGATTGGCGGAACCAAAGTGACATTGTTTAAGAAAATTTGGAGAAATACGATGACACCTCTAAGTATGATAAATACATACATGAGTGTATGTTTCACCAATTGTTTTCAATGTTTTATGTATGTAATTAGTATCGATAATGAAAAATCATGATATTATGATACAAAATGGGTAAAATGATGTCTTAATATGTTATAAATTACAATAATTATAGGGATATTAAAAACATTTCTCTTTGGATTGGGGACCACGCCAAATACTGAGTTCTCTCAAACATAAAAGGGACAAGAACATGTAAAAGACGACATAGGCCCTCATATTGCCATTTCTTGCATACAAACAGGTCCAAAGCAAGATCCCAAACGCAAACACGTAAAGAGGAGAGGATCTGTCCTCTACATGCATGCTTATTACATAGAATAAGAGCCACATAACCCGACATAATATGAATATATTAGAGGGTATAACATTTGCATATGCCACTGCTAGTGCCTACTTATAACATACAAGATTTTCCTGTGGGAATTTAGTGAGTAGACTAGAATGCATGTTTGGCTAGTGTCTCAGCATAATAGAAACAGGAAATTCGACTTGCATGATGAAGCTAACAACAAGGAGTAGGATATAATCTTGGGGCTCCTAGAAGTCTCCTTGGATTTAATTATTCCCAACCTTTGGATCTCCTACAAGGGAGCAAGAAATATGTAGTTGTCAAAGTGAGATTTATTCGGATGAAATAATAATTAAATGATAAATGATTGTACACATACCTTTCAATTTATTATGGGATTGCCAATTGGGCTGTACTCTCGCAACACATTGAACAACTCCCTACCTAGTTCTTCATGCCGAAGTTTACGGTGGATTAGGTCCAATATACATGACTCGTCCAACACTTGAGGCTGGTGGATGCATAGTTGGAGCAAAGGGTCTAAGTGGAAGGATATCACCATAACTTGCATGATCGGTCCAAGTCGCTTCAAAAGATTTATGTGTGCATTAAAAAGCCCATTTTTTCCATACGTAGAAGTTGAAATCTAGTGTGCAGAATGTGACACCAGCTTATGTAATGACGTAGTTGGCTATATGTTTCATGGAAAGCCGCATAGTTCACGTCGTTGACATGGATATTCTTCTGTGATATAAAATGGGCAATTGCTACTTCGGAGACATTTTCTTCAGCATCATAATCGCACATACAAGGGCTACCATGGAAACACTCAGTAGTCACACCTTCAGTGCTATTCTGGGCAGGGATCTCAATTGTGAGCCAGGCTATCCTGCGAGACTGATCTAGCTTCACTATCCCTTCTGTGCGAATAACCGCCCCTAGATTGCCAATGATTTGCCTTAGAATGCTTTTGCGTGATACGGTAATTACTTTAGTGGGACCCTGCAAAGTATATATTAAAATGTCTATAACTTGTGTTCATATGCTAATGTGTTAGGAAACAAAATATATTCTTCAAATACGAAGACAAAGGAAAGCATAGAGCAGGTAACTATATAAATTTTGGAGGAAGCAAAGGAATACATTGTTGGGTCCCGTGACATGGACGTCATCATTTTGTGCAGGTTGTGAGGACGATTCTCCGATCACACCCTTTCCCTTATCCATTTTATAAGCCTTCAAATGAGCCTCGTTATATCCTGGGGCAAATAGGAAAAGCAAAAGCAAGATCCAATCATTTTTACCTAACACAAGCTACACGACAAACAGGAGGGCGGCATATAGCCATATTAAAAAAATATATTATCTAGTATATGGATATTGCAAAACAGCGTATAAAAATATTTCATGAGCAAAAGCAACCCATTAAACTAAGGAAGAGTAAAAAGGGAGACAATATTCATGTGGCGATATCCTTGCATCCTTTTGATGCCACAAATTTAAGCATGTGGATCATGCATTGCTATTTTGTTTTTCTAGCCTACAAGCAAACAGCTAATCGATCTTTTAAAAGGATCAATTACCTAGGGCACGTGTGCTGGAATGGATGCAGCGAGCTGTGAGAAGTGCGTGGTGAGGAATCCATTCTATAAATAGGCGAGAAGCGGGCTACGCATGCCTGCATATGGCCCTCAGTACCATTTTGAGTCGTTCTCGTTTCCCGAAGGGACAAACGCTTTTAACTGCAACCAAATATACATGAAAATATTAATATTTATAGTACATAATTAATATCATCAGATAGATGATTGAATATATTTACATAATAAACTCATTTAAAAATACAAATATTGTTATTATTTTCTATAAATCCCGATCTGAATAGCATAACGACACTTATTTTGGGGGAGGAGTACTGTGAATGCAAAGAGAAAGGCACATCGTGTATGAATTGAGACATGGTCCAGTAGACAATACAGCACCAGCGTTTGTTGGTGACAACACTAACGCATCAGGTGATATGACAAAACACAGTTCGAGTGTTCATATGTATGTAGCAACTTTACTGAAAGAGACAATACTGATTGATGTCTTAGTACCAATGTATAGTATGGCGTACTATTCCTGTCCTTTATTCGTGCATATAGGCATGGGGTCACTGCAGCATATAAACAAATACTTAGAAACTTGTAACAAAGTCTAGATGATATAGAAGCAGCGAGAGAGGAACAAGTACTATAGTAGCAACAAAGTACAAATGATGCACTAGTACGATG